CGGGGCTGCCCCGTGCCCACGGCCCGCTGTGTCTGGGGGTGCCAGCGGCTCTCTTGGAGCGCTCAGAGGAGCTCCAGCATCATCTGCGCTGTTCCGTTCCCGGTGAATCCCTCCCAGGTCTCGCTCATCGCCCCCGCTGCCCTCCCGGTGTGTTCGCTGCCTCTCATCGCAGACTCTGCTTAGCTTTGGCTTTTCCTCCTTAAGTTTCGTCGTTTTCTGCTCCGTTCCTTGTCCGAGCGCAGCACGTGCTGCTGCTGGTTCTTTCCTGCCCTCCAGTAACCTCATTTCCCTGGGCTTTGGGTGCACAGTGTGTAAAATGTGGGATATCTGGGGTCGGTCCCGTAGTACCCCAGGACGTTTGCAGGTGTGGGTCAGGCTGTGGATTGTGGATTATGGATTGTGGATTATGGATTGTGGATTATGGATTGTAGATTGTGCCATCCTCTTCTCATTTCCAGGGAGCTCCTGGGCTCTGTCCCCTGCCGCTGCTGTCCCGGTGACAGACAAACGCTTTGCCCCTGTGGGATCCCTGGGCTGGGAAGAGCAGAAGGGAGGATTTCCCTTGGCTTCAGCCTCCTTTGAGCTCTGCTGGGGTCACAGACAGTGGCTCTGCTGCCGGGGGCTGCTGAGTGTTACAGGAGCTGGGTTTGGTGTATCCATAACGCGCCAGGTCCAGGCTCTTGTCCCTGCCAGGGCGTAGCTGTGTTAAGAACTGTGACCTAGCAGTTGTTTTTTCCACTTTGGCAACGTTGCTCTGCCTTTGTTTCGGTGCCAGCAGTCTAATTTTGCCTCCCTGTGCGTTTTCCCCCCCAGTGATGTGTTTTCAGCCTGCGCTGAGCAGTCGGGTTCCTCTTAAACAGCTGCTGCATTTTGGCCTCGAGTGTTTGTCTGTCAGTGCTTCCAGCTTCCAGCATCCAGTGAGGATGGTGGGGCTTGCAGGAGAGGGTTTGGGGTGTGAAGGATGCTTCCAGAAAGCCCTTGATGAGTGAAAGTAGTGTGAGATCACAGAATCTCAGGATTGTTTAGGTTGGAAAATACCTTCAAGACCATTGGGTCCAGCCTGTGCCTGATCCCAGCCCAGAGCACTGAGTGCCATGTCCAGGCATTCCTTGGACATCTCCAGGGATGGGGACTCCAAACCTCCTCGGGCAGCCCCTTCCAATTCCTGACAACCCTTTCCAGAAATTCCTCCTGATGTGCAACCTGCTTCTCCCTTGGGAAGGGAAATTCCTAAAATCATGCAGGAATCTGCAGGAGCAGGCACTGTCTGCAGCCTGCTGGATTCCCTCCAGGTCCTGGGGTCCCCTGTTTGGAGCAGGGAAGGGACAGGCTGAATCCACCCAGAAGGTTGTGGCGCTGGGATCTGGTTTGTGTGCAGGTGACACGGCCAGAGGGAGGGAATGTTTCACCCTGTGGAAATGGCAAACCTGAGCCACAGTGGTTCTTCCAGTCAGGGGATGCTGGTACCTTCACTGCTAACACTCACGTGGGGTTTTCATATTGACTGGACTCAAGGAAAACAAAAAAACCCCAATCCATAGTTTTTGGGTGGTTTGGATCCCAGGGTGAGCTCTCCTGTGGCAGCACAGCCTCTGATGGCCTAGACCCATGTGTGAACATCGCATGGAAGTTTTTGTTCCATGCCTAAAGTCAGCCCTTCCCTTCCCAGGGCTCCACAACCCCGAGGTGCTGCCGGAGCCTCAGGGAGCCCTGCAGGCTCTGGATGGTTGTAGGGCACCGTGTGCTGGTGCCAGCTCTGCCCTGGGGGTGCTCCTGGCCACTCCTGAGCACTCTGCAGCCTCACTGGGGTTCAGCCATCTGTCACCTGGAGCGTTCCCCTGTTCCCCAGGACCTTCCAAGCCCTGCTGGCCCCGAGTGTGGGATTTCCTGGAGCATGACTGTACCTTTCTCACGGCGTATCTCAGCCCAGGTGTGCCAGGAGGAGAGCACTGGAGAGAAAATCCCTCCTGGGTTCCAGTACTCGGGTTACACAGCCATGTTCAGTCTGCTGGAACTCTTCCCTCTCGGTTTTTATTCCCTGTGCTGTCCCTTCCCTGCCTGTGCCTCTTTGCCGTGGTCATGGTGAGGCACACACCAGCAGATCCCTGTGCCCATGGGTTGGATCAGGGGCTGCAGGGACAGCTGGCACAAGGATGGAGGCAGCTGGTTGCTCACAGGGGTACATGTCACCCTTCTCTGAGCTCAGCAAGACCCCCAGGAGCCTGAAGCAGCAGAACCCCAAATTACCCATTCAGGCTGCCCCTGCTCTGCCTTGAGCTGAGCTTGGAGCTTCAGAGTCACCTTCCTGCTTTTAACGAGGTGTCCTGGGGCTGGAGCAGGGCAGTGCCTGGGCCCAGGAAAGCCTCAGCTGTGGGAGGGGTGTCCTGGCACCACCATCAGTGTCTGTGTTTCGGGGCAGTCCTGCTCCCCAGCTCTGCCTTTTTGTGGCTGTTCTTATTTAACTGCATTTCCCTGGATTGTCTCTCCAGGCAAAGAGCGTGTTGTTGTTTGTTATTCAGAATTCTGAATAAAAGAACATGAGAA